AAACAACCGTTATGTGAACAAAACTATAATACTCTCTTTAGCAACTTTGTTGCGAGAGTATAAAAATTAAAATACAATGGAACGGGCTAGTGCAAAACGGTGGATAGGGAATACAGAAAAATTTCTATTGACACACGAYACAAGAGACTGTAGGAACATGATGGGAATACTAATTGGTCACTGTCTAGTGATGACATAAGCTCGCAGGATGGGGCTGATAATACTGCCGGAAATGTCTAAAGCATGGCACCACGGAAACAATGGAGCATCTCTTGTGTACTTGTGYCGCATTGGCAAGACTACGCTGTAAGCATCTTGGGTTCCCACGGTATGACACACYAGAGGAGGTATCAATAGTGAGGCCGCAGAGTCTGTTAAAACTCGCATCAAGTAGACTCATCCTAAAGAATGACTACTCTTCTTGGACCTAACAACTGAACTCCATCTGATATGGCAAAGGAAAAAAACTGGTCTATGTGTGGCTTATTGACCTATCAGGTTAACCTAACCTAACCTCTCCCCGATATACAATATTTTAACGCTATAAGGGAAAGGTCAAAAATTARCTTTCATAAAGAAAACTGTTCCATAATATGTTATAATTTCGACATACACCCTGGCATGAAAKTATCGGGAATTCTTCATTTTGCCCTCTCATCTTCCGCTTGTATGGAACACAGGTTGGCTAAAAACTCAATAAATGTCATTGAGCAAACATCGTATTCACCCAATATGGCCCCCTGTGACTTTTTTTTATTCTCCACACTGMAATATCCACTTCGGGGAACACGCTTCGACTCAATTGTAATCATCAAAACAAATTCGACGGGAGAGCTGAAGCCATCTCGGAAAATGGTTTTGAAGATTGGAAGAAGCGTTGGCACATGTGCATTGCATCAAATAGATGTTAMTTTGAAGGCGATAAAATAAATTTGGATGGTAATCGAAAAATTTTCGTTTTATTTATAAATTCCCGATAGTAAATAAAGACTGGTTACAGAGGTAGTGTCAAGAAACATAATTACACCTAAACAGGAGAACAGGAGACCATATAAAATGTATCGATTTTCCGTCAGCCAGTTTGTATGTATATGTTTTATTTCGCGTTTTTGAGATATCGATCTGAAATTTTGTATAAATTCTTCTTTCTTCAGTCAGAACCGACAATATCGGACCACTATAGCATATAGCTGTCATTCAAACGATCCGGATACCGTGTTTATATGGGAAACTTTTTTTGTTTAAAGAGGTGTCTTCAGTTTTCGTGGATTATTGCGCAAAGCTACGGTGTAATCTCCGTAAAACTTTCCCAGGTTGACCACTATAGCATATAGCTGCCATATAAATTTATCATTCAAAACTCACTTCTTGTATGAAAAACTTGCTCATTTGCCAGAATATCTTTACAAAAGTTGGCATGGGTTGTTATTCAAAACAACGACACRTTCACCGAAGAAATTGTTYAGATCGGACCACGGTGGCTTTTTTTCATGTTTTTAAATTATTCCTTCAAAATTGTGTGGAGTTGCATTCGCAATAAAATCAGTTTTTTACGAGAGTTTCACAAGTTGGTGGAATAAATTCCAGATTTAAGGAAAAAGGAAAGAAATTTTATACAGACACTTGTAGCTTTGATAGTTGAATGTAGCGAAACTTCGTACAACGAAAATTTAGACACTTGTTAATTAAATATATTTGTGCCTAATTCTGCTGATACATAATTGATTACTGTTTATTAATAGCACATGGCGTCGCGCTTTATTTCACGTATGCGATATGGCTTTATGCCATGCAACAACACTGAACGATAACACAAACGGCTAGCAAATCAAAGCAAAGTGCGCTTTGAGTTTAGAGCTTCAAATACGTTGTAAGTACTTGATAAWTAATTTTAATTTTAACGGTAATTTCACAGCACTCGTTTTAACCAATTGCCGCCAACTAAAGTGGTACTCTTAGGCACAGATACTCACTACTCTTTATAACAATTATCGTGGTGTTGTTATCATCAAACTCTCCACGCGTCTCCAAATGTATGTTCGGCACTGTATCCGTATAGTTTAGACGTTCGGTAAGTGGTTGATTCAAAAGCGTTTCATGTGAATTGCYTTCCGAAAAGAAGTTTCGCTGATTTTGTCCCAAACTGAGCAAAAACGATTGACCGAGCGTTCCTTGCACTAGAACAGTTAAAACTGAAATGAAATCGCATATCGAAAATCAATATTAAAAACTCATGAAAAAATATGATAACGAAATAAAAGTAATGATAAAAGYGTAGAGTCTGTATGTATATAACAATGAGAGTGCACAATGATATATGTAAGTACGTGTTAAGGTGGATTTTAAATTAAAACAAAGAAAAACGGTGTCACTATCTGGGTGGTAAATAAACGCCATCGTCGAATTTGATGTCGCAGACGAAATATGGGTGTATGCTAAGATTTAATACAAACTTACAATAACAATATGCGCGTTTGAACTAGAGCTGTACTTTACKAATGCCGTAACAGCAGTCTTCTAGCCTCTATTTGGTTTACTATCGGAAACCTACACTTTTAGTATCTATGCACAAAAATAGAACGTTTGCAAAGGTTCTTCTGGTACAATCCGGCTATCGACAATATGACACAGCCGTTCTGAAATGACGTATCGAGTGAACTGTATCACGACGGCAGCATGACGGTCAACAGTTTGTTCCGCACCTGCTCGGCCAGCTCTATCGACAGAAAACACGAACCATTCCGTTGTGATAAGAAAGGTAAACAAAAGGCGTCCATCACGTATCGCTGCCGATGTAAATTGGCAATGCTTGATTACGTACGTACCTAATATGTATAATATATTATATATGTAGGTTCCGTTAAGTGCGATTCGGATTCGCCCTACTTAAACTTTGGACACTGCACCAGGTTGAAGATATATATAATACAAAATAATATCCAACATCAATATTATTATTGAATGAATTGTGGTTTTTAACACATTCTATTGATTTATAGTCAAAAGCGGTGTTTAGTGGTTCATAAAATCCAATTAWCAAATAATCGTAAACTAGTTCCGATTTTCTACAGTACATGGTAGTTATGAGATAACAACCGCCAACCTGGTGTATAGACACAATTTACAGACTTTTTAAGTTATTATCCCTCAAAAAACATGCCTTATATGAAATATTTCCACTTAAATTGAGAAAACAAAATTAATAATGGCCACTGGTAAATAAATAAGGAGAGTATGTCGAGTAAAGTGATATATAAAATGCGACAAGCTTTCTAGAAAAGAAAACAACATTAGTTAGCTAAATAATTTTAGCAAGTGATGCATGCATTTATAGCTAATATTGACACATTCAAGACAAACAACACTTCAATTTGCTAGGAGTTGCTTAGGGTAGTAAGTGAGACCCCATCAGCTGATTGCTAAGTGGCCATTTCGTCACAAATCAAAAAAGTTGCTCGATACTCTTTATCAATATCATTATTTATATACATTGAGATAATGGTTACTATTAAAAGATTCTTTACTATGAATGGAGTAAGTAGATCGTTATGCAATAATGAAACGGAAGATCCCCTATTGGATTTTTTCCTAATGTTCTTCTAAAGACCTCAAACTTATTAATGTTCGCCATGTTTGCATATTTGAGAGATTATTGGAAATTGGATACACCAACCTATTTCGACAAATCTTCTTCYTCTTCTTTATTTGCGTAGACACCGCTTCCGCGATTATAGCCGAGTTAACAACAGCGCGCYAGTCGTTTCTTCTTTTCGCTACGTGGCGCCAATTGGATATTCCCAGCGTAGACAGGTCCTTCTCCACTTGGTCCTTCCAACGGAGTGGAGGTCTTCCTCTTCCTTTGCTTCCCCCGGCGGGTACTGCGTCGAATACTTTCAGAGCTGGAGTGTTTTCGTCCATCCCGACAACATGACCTAGCCAGCGTAGCCGCTGTCTTTTAATTCGTTGAACTATGTCAATGTCGTCGTATATCTCGTACAGCTCATCGTTCCATAGAATGCGATATTCGCCTTGGCCTACGCGCAAAGGACCATAAATCTTTCGCAGAACTTTTCTCTCGAAAGCTCGCAATGTCGACTCATCAGTTGTTGTCATCGTCCAAGCCTCTGCACCATATAGCAGGACGGTAATTATGAGTGACTTATAGAGTTTGGCTTTTGTTTGTCGAGAGAGGACGTTGCTTCTCAATTGCCTACTCGGTCCGAAGTAGCATCTGTTGGCAAAAGTTATCCTTCGTTGGATTTCCAGGCTGACATTGTTGGTGGTGTTTACGCTGGTTCCAAGGTAGACGAAATTATCTACGACTTCAAAGCTATGACTGTCAACAGTGACGTGAGTGCCAAGTAGCGAGTGTGATGACTGTTTGTTTGATGACAKKAGGTATTTCGTCTTGCCCTCTTTCACTGCCATACCCATTTGCTTCGACAAATCGTTTGACATTAATTTCAAGAATGATAGCAATTAGATTGCRCGACCCAAATAGCRGTGACATAATGAACTTCAGAATGCGWGAGAAGAATATGAAATAAATTATCTTACCATGAACGAAAGTCAAATAAATCGTTATACCCTAAGCAGGGTACATTAAACCCCTAAACCACCCTAAAGAAAACTTCGGATACCATATAAAGTATGCTTACATATGTAAGAGTGATCACCGTGACGGGCTGAACTATTTTAGCCATATCTGTTTATCTGCCCATTTACATATATATCACCGATCTAGTGCCCCAAATTTTGAGATATTGATTCGAAATTTTGCCCACGTACTTTTGCTCCTATGAAGCARCTCATTTGTCGGAAACTCCGGAATCGGACAACTATAGTATATAGTTTCCATAMAAACGGACCGATAAAACTCAAGTCCTTGTATCGAAAAGTATTTTTACGCGATATATTTACAAAGTTTAGACCGGAMCTTCATCCAAACTGACCGAACGAAGTCAAGATTACGATATTTTAAACCCTTTATCCAATACATAATGCAGAATGAAAGGTATTATAGCTTCGGTGCAGCCCCGGCATGACACTATTGACTTAACTTATTTGCACAAAATGGTGTAGGAGACCAATTGAGATGACAATTATCTTCCCAGAAAACTTTAGAACGCATTTATTTAAGTATAAACTGTATCTATAAGGTTAAATTAATGGCGCACGCTGTCATCCAGACATCAAATTGGATTTTCTTTTTAATATTTTTAGAAAAATGTGAGTGTCGAGTGAAAAACTGTTATCATTTGCATATGATAATATTATAAAGATAGCATATACAACCCGCACTAGGTGCTATTTTTGTGAAATAGTTGAAGAAGTTATGAAATCTTTAAGTCAATATGAAAGTMGCATAAATCTGAAATGTGTCGTACAATAAATTAATTTCAACTGAAATCTACATTAATCAATCATTTTATTTTTAAATTAAGTGATAAAGTATATGGCCTAATAACGTCCCATTAGACCGGTTGACGACTATGTGAAACAATAAAACATAATAAAATACTAGAAATAAATAAATAGAGTCGAATGGACTGTATAGTACATATTTTGTGATAAGTAGAAAATTGTCGAATGTACACCGAATATGCATTATACTTGTAATACCTTTGYTGAGAAAATAAAAAAGCAATAAAATCAAAAGATTCCATTACAASAACATGACTTTGATCAGTCAGCTTGTATGGCAGCTACAATATGTACATAAATGATTCAATCAGAACAATTTCTTCGGAGTTTGTACCGTTTCCTTTGGCGACAATCCATGCCAAATTTTATGAAGATATCTCGTCTAATAAAAAGTTGCCCAAATAAAGCCATGATTTTAGTYGTTCAATTTGTCTGACTTCTTTGTGGTAAAGTGGTTCGTAATCGACGAATCTGACAAATGAGACCTATACGCTGTTCAGGATATAAAAGACGGAAAGAAGTAACTATGATCATTATCGACTATACCGACCTTCCAACTGTTGTATACCTTTTTTGTAGTGCAATTTGTCATTCGCTTCAAAAGCGATGTCCATTTTTAATCATTTGTGACACTGACGTGATTTATGACTTCACGTTGTCCCCCTTTGCACCGAGTTTTCGAATACACAAATAATCATGAACAATATGTCCCAACCGATCTTTTGATAGAGTATCGGGTAATTCGATCAATTTTACTTTACGGCCATCCAAAATAATTTTGTGATTTTTTTTATCCTTTCCTTTGAATCGAACACTGCTTTCATCGTATTCAAACTCATTACGGTGGATTAAATAGTATTTCATTAAATCACGGAATATCTTTTCAGACATTTTTTTTTTTTTTTTTTTTTGATACCAAAAGTTGTAGTAAACATTAGTGGTTCGCTTCCTTTGGAAAGATGCGAAGCTTTCAGTCTGGAAACAAATATTTGAAATCCATTTGCGAGTGAGGCTCCAGCTCACGTGAGAACCTCTAAACCTTTTCTCATTGTAAATTACTACAATCTCTACAAAATTGTTGATGCTGCCGTGAAAACTGCGTTAATGACGACCCCCAAGTGAAGGTAAGAGCAGTTGGAAATCTGAGAAGTACGTAATTTTTCGAGTTGCTCTCGAACATAAATGCTTATTGGGGTTGTTTAAAATTATCAACAGCATACCACTTTCGAGCAATTGTTCATCACATGATCGTTTGGCGGTATCTGTTGATGTTGCCAACAAATAAACTGCTGTTAATTGCCATATAAAATATATGACAAACATGATTTAGATAATAGCGCTTCATTTGTATATAAGTTGGTACATACTTATATACCTGACTTTTCGACTTTTTATACATATATGTKYCTATATATAAATATTTGTATATTTAGTGCTGTCATTATCTCGGTGTGGTACGGTTTGCTCCGTTTCATTTGATTTATTTGTGTATCTAAGTAATTGTCATGTTACTGCAAGGTACGTATGTATGTAAAAGTATATAATATTATACATAAGGAGAAGCGTGCATATTCACAAATTTATACATACATAATCGCCGAGGAGTTCATAAAGTGTCTAAATTCGTAATTAGCACWATGCTGGTATAATAATGATAACTGCGCCGAATTCCAGTTGTACTTAGTAGAAAGGCTTAGAACTGCTAGCCGTGCCCCTAGGAGATGGCTCCAAATGCGTCAAATGAATGTTTTGATTTACCTTTGGGAACAGACGRAATTATAAACTCGAATGTACTTTCATAACAAAAGAACACTTCATGTTTGCAAATATTTGCAAATAAAACGCATACTCAACTTTATTGACATTCCGCTTTACTTTTGATTATTTAAATGGRTGTCGATATGTGCATATTGGTGCACCCTTTCATTTCTCAAAGATTGTTTATAACTCATTGACACTCACATAAAATTTCATTGTCAACATTTTATAAGGAAGTTAATTGTTGGTTGTTCAAATTACGGCCCCCGTAGTGACAATGCATGTAAAAAATGCAATAGCAACGTAGCTGAATATACATATATGTTTATATGTATGTGGTATTTAGAATTGAAGTGGAYCAAGGAATGTAGCAAACGCAATCTCTCGAAAGAATACAAAAGTATATCTCTCTAACATTTCTGGAACTGCGCCAAATGCCGACTAAAAAGCTTGAAACACAGGAACACTGTCGGARTTATAGAATGTTCGACAACAGAATTCGAAATTTTTGGAAAGTCCATCGTTAATATTTTGGGTTCACGATCACCAAAACTCATGAGAAATAGTCAATAAAAAGTTAAAGAAGGAGAGTGAACATATTGCAGACATTCTATTAAGTCGTCATAACGTCAAAAATCAATCACCCCTTATTACTTAGATATACACTTAGCTCGCATTCAAGAACTCAGAGGCTGTAAGATTTCCCAAAACGACATTAAAAGCAATTATCTCTGACACTAGTGGATTAGAGGAAAAACATATACCACTTTGGCATTTTAAATCTTAATGTCATATCTTACATATATTATTCTGGTTTAAAAGATACAGCTAAACCTCTGTACTGTGAAAATTTATAGCGTGTAATTTTTTCGTTAGTACAAAGGAGCATGCATAGGCTTCTTTGTAGAATATGTTCGGAAGAAAGCATGCCCAACGTTTGGAATTTAAGTATGCTATGCCCAATCCACAAAAAGGAAGAGCCCACAATCCGAGCCAACTACCGAGGAATAAGCCTTCTTAACATCGCATACAAGCTTCTATCTAGCGTATTGTGTTAAATATTTAAGCCCACCGACAACAAAATAATTGGGCCTTATCAATGTGGATTTAGACCTGGAAAATCAGCAACCGACGAGATATTCGCCATGCGCCAAATCTTGGAAAAGACACGTGAAAGTGAATCGACGCACACCACTTCTTCGTCGATTTCAAAGCTGCTTTGGATAGCACGAAAAGGAGTTGCCTTAATGCCGCGTTGTCTGAATTTGGTATCCCCGCTAAACTAATACGGCTGTACTATATAAACTGACGTTAAGAAACACCAAAAGCTCCGTCAGGATCGAGAAGGACCTCTCCGAGCCGTTCGATACCAAACGAGGTTTTAGACAAGGCGACTCCCTATTATGCGCCTTCTTCAACCTGCTGCTGGAGAAAATAATTCGAGCTGCAGAACTTAATCAAGAAGATACAATCTTCCATATGAGTGTACAGCTGCTGGCGTATGACGATGATATTGATATCATTGGCCTCAATACCCACGTCGTTAGTTCTGCTTTCTCCAAACTGTATAAGTAAGCGATGGGTCTGGCAGTAAACGAGAGCAACACAACAGACATCAAAGAAACAGTCGTCGCACTCGCGATTAGATTTGGAACCAGCATTAACAGCAACAACAATGTCAGCCTGGAAATCCCATAAACAATAACTCTTGCACCGGGTTCTATTTCGGACTGAAGGCAATCAACGAACAAAAAYAAAATTCTATAAGTCATTCATTACTTCCATCCTGCTATACTGAACAGGGGCATGGACGATAACAACATCTTATGAGTCGGCCGGAGTTTTCGAGARAAATGTTGTGCGAAAGATTTATGGTCCTTTGCCCGTTGGTCGCGGCGAACATCGCATTAGATCCAACGAAGAACCGTACGAAATATATTTACAAACAAAAGACAGCGGCTGCGCTGGCTAGGTCGACGCAGTACCCGCTGGGGGAAGCAGAGGAAGAGGAAGRCTTCCACTCCGTCCAYCTGGAAAACYTGGCTTCGTTCGACATTTTCAATTAGCGCCACGTTGCGAAAATAAAAAACGACTGGCGCGCTAATGTTAACACGGCTATGATCGCGTAAGCGATTCTGACACGATATTGGTTGAAAATTTGGCAAAAAAATCACAAAACAAAAGAATCAATGCAATATGCGACGGTGCATTATCGTGGTGCAAAAATCATGAGTTGTCGGCCCATAATAACATTCAAATATAATGAGTCTTGTTGACAGTTTGACAGATCGGAAGGAATTCGTAAGTATAACTCATCGCCAGTAATAATGCGTTTSATGGCATCCTGGTAGTCGGGAAGCATTGTTTCACAAACGTTAACGCGACGAAAGAGTTGAGTGATTTCGGAACCAATGGTGCTTTTACTTTTCTTGGGCTCAAATGACATTTCAAAATGGTTTTCATTGATCCTTCCGATATTTCAACGATGYCAGTAAGGTATTTGGCTGTTAGTCACCAGAAAATTTGATTGATTTTAATAATTTCCCTTTCGTAAAAATCGCCGAATGCACTTAATGTACTTCAGAAAGACAAGCATATAGTAATAACTAATGATAACGCTGATGTGAACATACATACATACATATGTCACTGACAGTCATACCAATATATCAAAAAGATATCAACGAAATTTCGAAATTTAAATTAAAAAATATCCCACATAAATAATTCGAATTCGTTTCGTGTAACTAATGCTTGTTCGTGATCATAAAATTTGTCAGCCTATAAAAGGTTCAATGATAAACGATTCAATTCTAATTTTAAACCATATTAGAGAAGAAAGTTATTATTTTTTTCTTTGGAAAAGCTTCTGCTTACTACCCTTTCTCACACCAACTCACATTTAATTAAACATATTGTCTGTATGATAATTAAAAATTATTTCATATTTCCGCATAATCTTCATATTCGCATTAAAATTGCCGGTTTGCTCATTCTTTGACACATTAATTACACAATTCTAAATACACGGAACTGTCAACCGAAACCACTCTTACGCTGCAAACACTTGAAGAAAGTGAAGATATGTGTGTTTTGGGCACATGTGTAAAGTAGAGCTAGATAACACTGCAAATATTATAGTAGCTAGAGAACTAATTAAAATTTTAATAAAACTGTGTACTTGGAAAAGTCTATTTATCTGTTTAAGGGCACTTGTTGTCTTTAAATAGCACAAGACTTAAATTTTACAGAAAATGAGTAGCATTTTTGTTATACCTTRAACAGAGTATATTAAGTTTCCCACGAAATTTGTAGTACCCAGCAGGAAAGCAGGAGACCCTGTAAATATCAATCTGAGATTTTCCACACGTTCTATTCTCTCTAYGAAACTGCTTTGTCGGAACCGCCGATGTCGGCCTAATATAGCATATAGGTTCCATACAAGCTGAACGATCAAAAACAAGTTCTTGTATGGAAAACCTTCTTATATAACAGAATATGTATTTGTACAAATTGTCTAAGTAACTGTTTTGATCATACCACTATGTAATATAGCTGCCATCAAACTGACCAAACTAAATTCAGATTTTATAAGAAAGCTTGAACCTGTGAAGCGTCCGATGTTACTTTTTTTTTATTAAACAACAAATATATAGTACATATTTACAACATTTGTAGGATTTTCTAGACTGGGTTACTGCTGATAATTAGTTATTTCACTAATTGAGTAATCAAGTCAACCCTTATCGGTCGTTGGGTTAATTGCACAGATTATACAATATTAATCACTGCATTAGTGCCTTATTTATGACCTTAATGTTAGTATACATGTGTGCCTACTTAAGCGTTAAATGGAAGCTTCGGCTTAATTTAGTAACGGTGCTTACCTGTGATTAGTTTCAGAAGATATATATGATCCTGTTTGGCGTACGTTGGCATCTTTGATATTTGTATTTGTTGTTGCTGTTTATAGTTTAGTTTCAGTTTTTTTAACCAACTAATACAGATCACTTTTGTATTTTGATAATTTTGCTGCTTCTACTTTTCGTTGCTTTCAAATCGATCACTTCCTCAATTCGTTCGAACACTGAACCGATCGCCGCGCACAACTACACTGTTCGTAAAAGACAATACAAATTATTTTTAATTACAAAATTATAATTTTTATGTACAATTTAATTTGCTTAATTCATTTGTTAATAACGCGCAGTCAACGAAACTCGGTGCCCTCACGCGAACTCAAAAAATACAACAAGCTTGAAATGTTGGTTATGAACAACAAACGACAATCACAGTGAGCGACTGAAATGCGAATAGTTAGAAAACCGGCTGAAAGATCAATGCAAAGCGGKAGATCGGTTGATCATCTCGCGACGCAAACGATTCAATGCATGTGCGGGAGCTTCGGCAGTGTAAAGCGCTACAGTAGAATAGCCGTTGAGAGGGGCTCCCCAGCCAAGCGTGGCGAACTCAATGAAGTGCTGCTTAGGAATTCCAGAAATGTAAGCTGAATCACATTTTGAGAAAACCGCGGCGGCTGTGACGACTACGAAACTTTGCCTTTTCTTTAGAAAGACATACTTGAAATACGAGTGACTAATGACGTTTCTATATTAGCATACTTTTAGAGATTTTTGAGTGYAAGTAAACGCATTGTATGGACATAAGAGAGCTCAGTATTGGTGAAAGGTGCGTGGCTCAACTAGCTGACATACACAAACACACAAATACACATAAACATATATATATATGTATGTATATTATCAATTTTATTGTTGCTTGCAATTATTATTGGCGATTAGCATTTTTGTGTTTGCTGCATCGATTATACTCATATGGCTAATTACTTTAAGGACACATTTTCTCGAGTAATAATTATTTAGACACGAACCTGAACCCAATCCAGCAAAACACCATGAAATCTTATCATTATCAACACACTAGTGAGATATGGATATCAATAAGACCATAGCAAAAAATGTGCATCAGTTTGTGTAAGTGTTTGTATATATTACATAATAAAAGAATTAACTGTAAGCCATGTTAATCAAAAAAAGTTTAAAAGAGCGATTTCCAATGCAAATATATTTTTTGCGTTATTTACTTGGCACACACACGAGCTCTCTTATCACTCTTTAACTGCTGATGGCAAAAACAATTATTTATATTTTATATTTAAATATTTGATTTTGTTTAACATTGCRAGTGCACCAATTTTCGTTTGCACAATTTGCGTAAATTTACCGATATGCTCACACGCGGTCAGCTGAATATCATTTACTTTGCTATTAGCGCACAAGTGAGCACGTTACTACGACACACCCGCTTTAAGTGGAGTCACGTTCTAGAATGACCTAGTACGCAACGGCAAGCCAAGCTCAGATGTTCACTCTGCTGTCGGTGGAAGTGGCGATCTCCAAGCAGCACACATTAGGGTTGTCTGCCGAGTTTCAGTGGATGTTAATTACCGTTTACTCCTGAGTTCAAAAATTAAATTGTTGTTTTTAAACTTTTCTGTAATTTTTACTCGAATAAGAAGAAACATTATCAAATAATTTTTGCARTTAAATGTGATTATTATGCTCTTGCAACCAGTTGCTGCAGAGTTTTATAGTTTTGTTCACCGTACGGTTGTACGTATCACCTAAAATTAATCGAGATAAATATAGTGTTATCTATACAAGTATATATACTATAGGACTTTCGAACTCTTCAACTGATSAAAATATTAAAAATGTGAAGGAAGGTTACGAAGATGACAAGAGAGCCGACATCTCTTACGATAATTTTGGTGGATATTTGAAACGCGAAGCGTCGGAACCCCTAACCCATCAGCGCGATAAGCAGTCTCGTTTTTGCCGGTCTGTATATATGGGAACTAGTCTCTCAGGTTTTAAGATATCTTCTTGTCTTTTTCTCACCAATAAGGTGCTCATTTGTCGGAATCGAAAAATTGTTTCATTTGACAAGCTATCTTCAAGACATTCCGCAGAGATTATTTCCGAGTCATCGCCGCAATCTCCGGAGAAATAGTTCAGATCGGACTACCATAACATACATTTAGTTGCCATACAAACTTTACTATCAAAATCAAAGGCTTGTATATGGAAAACTTTTCAATTTGACCAGACATCTCCAATCAATTTCATCAGAACATCCAAAACATGTCCGAATATATTTTCAGATCGKACCMCTATRGCATATAGRGGCCATCCAAACTGACCGACAGATCTGAATAAATAAATTTTTATATATTTTAATGCAATAAAAATACACCTGTGAAGCATATATTTGACTTTTGTTTCGCAGTTACCTTGCTATGAAACACACTGACACATAGTTTAGCTATTATTTTGCTAACTTTACGCCACCAGAAATGCTAGATCGGTGGTGGTGCAAAGAATTCTCGAATATAATATGATTTTGTATCTCCATAGCAGAAGAAGCTACAGAAAGATATTTGACTCCAAAATTTTTATATCTTTTACAGATCGGCTTTTTATAATCGAATATTTTAAATGTTTCCCCGTTAACATGCCAGCGTATAGCTGTCTCATAAACTGATCGATCAAAATATAATACTTGCATTTAAACTTTTTTTGTTAATGGTATTCAAGTTTCAGTGCTGTCAAAGTTACCGTTAAAACATGTTTTAAAACCTTTGTTGTCATTTAAATTGTAGTTCTTCATTGTCCTTTCGACTTCAGTTTATGTTTTTTTTACACCATCTACAAAACAATCAGTAAAGTCAATAAAAATCTGAACATCTCTTCTTCTTCTTAAAACAGCGCATTTAAAAACCAGTGGAAAAATTCTCCTAATTTTAATACTTATTTACTTTAAAAATCTCCTGATTAATTATAATGCATTTTAACRTTATTTTAGTTTCACGTTAATTTCCATCAGCTTATTGGTTTAAACTCTTACAAACAGACGAAGGAGAATTTTACTGACGACTAAAAGCTCACTTAACCTCTTGTGATTTGTTCCGGGTCCAAACCATCCAACAGAAACCTGCTATATACATATGTAAGTRTACTTATACCAATCAAACTATTTCGTAATCTTCAGTTTCACTCTACTTTGTAAAGAATTATTATCTCCACAAAAATGTATTTTATTTTTGCTATTGCTATTAAAATAATTCCTTATTTATATATTTGCTGAAAAACATGAAGTGTTTTTATAATTATAAACATCTACGTTGGAGGGAGTTAATCATTCTAGAAAACGGATTTCCACCTAAAAATATAACATATGGAGAATTCAAGCTATTTTCATGAGGCTACAGGTCCAGTATTAATTTCAGTGTAAACATAGTGCATTGTTGAAGATATCAAGAAATYCTCTCTTATTTACAATAATAATAATTTCCTTATTCAGGTTTTACTGAGAGCAAGAAAATTCAAGTAGCTTTCGAAATACTTGAACAAAAACGACAAACAACTAATAACGAGCACGGTCATTAACAAGCGGCATGAAGCCGGTAGTACGCGTTACTTTAATTGAACTCTTTAATTGAAAAGTTCAAAAACATTATTTTTATACCCATGAGTACTTTGTCGACAACGGTGATATAATTTTATCATAGTATATACTCATAAATACATGCGCGCGTCGATTTTTTGTGGTCATTGCCGGTAGCAAATTGTGATTTTACCAGGTTAGGATGAAAATCATTGGAAACGAAAGATAAAATAAATAAAATTAYAGGAACAGTAATTTCCGGTTGATCTTTGGTCGAGAAGGAGAGGAGCGTTGAAGGGTTAGAAACGATTTACCTCGATTTCCAGTGAAATTACGAGACCTATAGAAAAGAGCTTTATGATAGATAATGATAAAATCGACATGTTACAGAGTATACTAGTTTTGTTCGCAAAAAGGGTTTTTTGTATTGCCTCGAAATAATCGAGTTATATGTATATAGGGTTGGTTATACTTACACATATGAATAATCAGGGTAATGAGACGAGTTGAAATATAAGATATAGAACTCTATTTTACTCAGAGAATCGCAGCTGCATGGTGAACTTGTCGGCTAAAATTTTTGAAAAAAATGCCGTGGCCCGCTTAAAAGACTTAATGCACATATATCCTAAACCACTGAAGCTACAAGAACCAAATGTACGCAATGAGATGACAACCCCGTCTACTCCCCATATAACGGTACCGTTAAAAACTACTAAAAGTGCGATAGAAAAAACCTGAATATGCCAGAGACATARAATTTTACCTTCGAGATGATATRAGAGCAGCCGGGCTCAAAATTTTACAATTTGCATAGCATCACCCTGTTTTAGGTGAATAAGTGTATATCTCGGAACATATTCTACAGATTTCAACCAAATTTGGTAAATAACATTTTTCTGACATATCTATGCTAWTGAGTTGGAGCCCTCATATACCTAATATAAAATTTTTCGAACTTCCGAGTGACTTTATATCGCATAATTATATCGGCCAATATATGAGTTATCTCAATTCAATTGAATGAGTGTGATTTTCGGGAGAAAACTTATCAAAGCCTCCAAATAACTAAGATAAGGAATTTCAATCTTCCAGTTGATTTTATCTCTTATATGTATGTATATGTATTGCTGATGGTATGTGAGGTGCCTTAATTAAACTCAAAGAGCATATGTTTATGATGAAGGAGATATCAATATCCGGGTCAATATTACCCTATCCCCCATGTAACCTAGTAAAATAAATTGGCTCTATACCAATATTTATGATATCTTAGCAAAATTAACTAAACATATGTATACCATAATATTTGGCATACCTTAGTTCAATGTCGAAACTATAATAATTTCAGCTATTATTGGAGTTGGTGTAGACCCTGATCTTATTTTCATATCCCTAACATTATCAATTCCGATCTTCTGCTTCACTCGTCTCATTACCCTGATTATTCATATGTGTAAGTATAAAAACCCTATATACATATAACAAATTTAGCCTCTTAAACTTTGCCCTTCCTTACTTGTTGATATAAATTTTATGTGAAAATGGTGCCAATACAAAAGTTGTACAGCATTTCATTATCTACAACTTCGACATATAACTTTTTTCTATAAGAAAAATGGGAAAAAAATGAGGGCTCCATAAATGCAATACCAAGCTTCGATCATCATTAAAAATGTTTTTTAATAGCAGTCGCTACTAAATAGGCAATGTCAAAGCTCACAATATATTTGTGCTATGAAAGCAATTCTCATAAAAATCGATTACTTGTTTGATAGAGTCACAAAACTGTTAGGTTCCACAATTTGTTTTACGATATCAAGTATTATAAGCCGATGCTGGCGACATGTCAATCAGATTTCCACATACACAAAAATTAAGATAATATATTGTAATAMTCCTCAGCGGCGATTTCATTGTTAATGTATGTATATGATTTTTCTGCAGAGTACATGATTAGAACCCATATTTTTGAATGAAATAAGAAAACATCTATGTAAAATTTAGCAGCTAATTGGGCATAGCAATTGCAATTTTTTCACTTTAATTTTAAGCCCCTTCTGGTTATTGCGTTCTAGGAGCTATTCGTCAATAAAACGGTTTCTACAATGCAGATCTGCATATAGGTACTATATATTATAAGCATAAAGCATGTCACAAGGTGCCTGCGTTCGAACGATAATCCAAATTTTATAACGTTTTCAGCAACACTTCATTTGTTGGTCAGTGCACTCACGCTTGCGATAACAATCAAATCTTCTTTTGTTTAATTGTGTTAATGCGAATTGTTATTTAAAAACAAGCATATATGTACATATGTACTTTACCACAAGTTTTTTGACCAGTACTCTTATCTCTGTCCTATGAATACTCTAAATTAAGCAATGCAAGCATTTCAACAAAAAAAAAATATGGAGAAATACTAGAGGAGGAATTTGGCCTCAGCCTTTKGGCTGTGAAACGGATCAGTGTCAACAAACTATATATATTTTTGTATCCTTAGACGCATATTGACCGCTGAAAAAAGAAAATTACTATTTTTTATCACCCAAACACTCTAATTAATCTCACAAGAGCCTTATTGTTATCAAAAATTTACTATGGACTTGCAATGTACGGCCACTGTGKCAAAACTCATATCAAACTCTTAAATGTACCAATTACTCATGCGGAAAAAGAATCCGGTTTACCAGATGTTCTGCAAAGGACCACACATATCACACTGTTACTCAGTCCAAAGTTCGTTCTATGTAAAAACGAGTTAACAGTCATCAATGAAAATATTACTCTTCAATGTTCACGAAGATACAAAAAACCCGCAACCATTATACGTTGTCTAACCATTTCCAAAGAATTTGGAATAATTACGAGCCCACAGCGGTAAGCCTTCCACGAGATTATCATCATGCTCATAAAACAATTCGCACCTTATTACAAAAATAAAAAAAAACCTTATTTCTAAACACAACAAC